CCGGTCAGGCACTGTTACCAAAGGCTACTAGGTATACTTGTACCTCACTCTTAGCGGTAGCGCCTATGACTTACCATGAAGAGACAGCTCGTTTCAAATGAGAGGATAGTTTCTAATTCCTTATGCTTTCGTTCCACCGTCCTAAGGAGAAAACCGTACCAATAAGAAATTTTGACTTTTTTCAAAGAGATGGAAAACCGTACAATACTTTTTTTCTCTAAGCTATATTTACATTCTAATTTGGATATATCAACAAAGTTGAAATGGTAAATTGGCCACCGTAACGATTACAAAAGCTGACGTTTCGAGCGTTAGCCCTTGGTCGGAGTTAACGACGAAGGGCTAACGCTCGAAACGTCAGCTTTTGTAATCGTTACGGTGGCCAATTTACCATTTCAACTTTGTTGATATATCCAAATTATTTCGTTACCCCCACCGACGCAGCTCCAAACAGTTTCTTTCGAAACTATCAGCCTATATTTACATTGACGTGCTTCTCGCAATCCTAAACGCAACGGATCCCTCTTAAGAAACGGAGATACCCAGTCATTCCGCCAGTCTATTCTAAATAGACGGCGAAATTGTGCGTTTGTTTACGGGGTGCCGTTTGAGTTTGTGTTTATGTCCACCCTGAACTAAACATATCAAGGAACAACAGGTGCTTTTTCAGTCTTCGACAAGGTCACAAGTTGTAACTTACTTTAGAATTACCGTCGCAAAGTTTTGCTCTAAATTCGTTGATCCATCATAAGCAAGAATATGATTCATAGATGAGATCAATTGCTCTTTCAAAGCTAGGTCTCCTTCAAAGTCCTAAGGATGAAAAAATAAATAACTAATGGTAAAGGAAGGAAAAATATATATATATAAAACCAATAAGTAACTGCAGCAAACATATTTACGAACAATTCTTACTTCGGGGTGTTTGGTTACCCAGTGACGCAAGATGGTCAGAACTCTCATCGTGGCCTTCTCAGTGCTTGAGGATAGCAATTCTCGGATTGTGTGACCTGGGAAGACACACAGACGGACAGGAGACCAGAGAAAAAAGAATTTTAGCCAAATAAAAACTGTACACCGGGAGACAATTCAATACAATTTTCTACTAACCAAAACGGAATCTTGTGGTAGGAGGTGAGTTGGCTGCATAAGAAGGAGATGCACCTGCGGTTGCAGCGGCAAAAGCCGAAGCTGCAGATGATATACTGGACCTACGCCGGGAAGGTCTTGATGATGTCACAACCACTCCGGCGCTTACGCTATTAGCCGATGGCGAAAGAGGAGAACGCGGTGAACTTAGCGGGGAGACAGGCGACTTAGGCGGATGAGATGGTAGCTTAGGAGAAGTGGGACGCCTCTGTGACTTTAGATTCAGCACTCTTTCTTCTGCCTCTTTGACGATCTTATAGAGCCGACATGGTGAACTTGACCCTCTCGATGAATGTTTGTTCAGGGGTGATTCCGAGCTTTTGTCCATAGTTACTCCGAGACAAGTGATTGGAGGCTCTACCAACCGTTCGCGCGATACAACAGGAGAAGACCGCCGCCGATTTAGTACACTGGGTGTCTGAGAAAATTCGCCACTAACCAAACTTGCATCATAGTTATCAGCCGCAGGAGTGATTCTTCGCCTTGTTTTCTCCATTCCGTCATGATTTGAATTATGTGTTAATTGAGCTTGCTTAGATACCGTGTTTAAAGATGCTCGAAAAGGGGGGGAGGGAGTCCGAAAGCTACTCTCCAGTGACTCAACAGCAGTTCCACTCGATGAAGACGAACGAGATCTTTTACTTCGCGGTTTTGGCGGGGCCTGTAGTTCAAATTTCAAGCCAAAAATGTCGTCTTCCTGGGAAGAAGACAACAGTAAGCTATCTTTACCATTCCCTCCAGACATGAAATCCGATGAACTACTCTGGGCACGGGTGCGAGTGTTGTTCCCACGTGATAAGAACGGGGAACTGTAGTTCTGAGGCCCTCCATATCGAATAGGTGTCGGCGAGTCTTCCTCTGGTGACTGAGGTGGATCACCCGACGACTCGGGAAACTCGAACGCTGCGGTCTCGCCCAGGGCGGAAGGCGACGAATGTCGCCTGTAGGAGTGGTAGTTACTTGGGCACAACCGGTCTGGGGTTCGGGACTCTATTTCAGCACCTTGATGTTTATTCTCTACCTGCTCGTTATCCGACGGCATTTTTACTCCAGAAACAGTAATGGAGATGGACTGCGAAGGAGACTGTTGATTCTGTTCACCGAAGAACTTATACCGTCCTTAATAGGGAACAAAGAGGATAAAAGTTTTTACTCGAAATCATGTGAATCGTTCGTGTTTTAAATATATTTCTAAAATAGGGAGTAGGTTTGGCGCACAAGGACGAAAATTGAGACAAGCCAAAGCAACGGCGTGGAAAGGAAACTGACTAGGTCATTAGGAAGTAAACAAATTCAACTCAAAAAGGGACAAATTTCCATGTGGCCCGAATCAAAAGCGTGAAAAACGAAAATAACTGACAAGGGAGTCACGAAACGATCTAATATCAATTTGAAAGTAAGTCGACTCAATATTAGTTTGTTGACAAGCGGAGGGTCCTGAGGTTAAAACTAAATCTCTACTCCTGTTGTTACGCACGCCAGTGTGTAAGAACTGAAAGACGAATGGCACTTCTGTTCCGTGAGACCCTTGATCAATTCAGGAATTGATGATGGCAAAAGCTACAAAGGGGTTTAAAGAGCAATATGAAGGGTATGCACATGCGTCTCTGCCGATTACATCAGATCAGTTTGCACAGGTTCTCAATTTTCGAGGAATCGCAGAATTTTGCTCTTCTAAGATTACAGGAAGAAAAGGGAAGGCACACGAAAGACGTCGACGAGGTTCACCGATCAACATATCAACATAAAGGAATAAGTTCTTCAAAAATAGACATGTCACAAGGGTACTGCTCCAAGTTTACCCAAACGTTTCTTACCTAAATGCGGAATATCAGCACATGACGTTTGCGCGCCTGGACCGAGGTGTTAAAAAAGATTAACCCATTCCGGGCTTACCGTACATTTTTTTCTTTTGATTTATAGCTTTGCGGAGGATTTTGCAGGCTATGTTTTATTACGTTCAGTCTTACTCCGCAGTAAAATAAAACTCAAATAAACATTAGCGTATAATACGCTCTGAGCAACTCCCCTTTAACTAATCAGAAAATGTCATCTGTACAAAAACTCCTTTTCGAGTAAATGCCGTAATCTAGATCAATTTGGTAATAAAGTCAAATGATTACCTTTCTTCTTGTCTTGACGGGGACTCAGTGCCTCACTAGGTAGCGATACGGATCGCACTTTACGGCTTACTGGGGAAAACACGTCTGTGGCCGAGTACAGTGGGTAGTCCTTTGCATTACTCGTGTCATAAAAGTGCAGTAATGTATTAAGGAGGTTGGAAGCTGTTGTGAATACGCGATACGTGATGAGGAAGGTGTTTAAGAAGTCCGCACTGAGGAAGCGAGTATCTAAAAGGCGTTCCAAAAGACGTTCCAAGCTAGCATGACGTATCTAAGGAGACAAATAAAACGAGCCATACTCATCAAACGTTTCTAAGACAAATAAAAACCTCTCATGATGCAAAATCAGCCACGGATGGGCGAAAAAAGGAAGATCATTAAGAAAAAGCTAGTTATCCCGCAAAGATTCCAAGTAACACGCACCATTAAGTCGTGCTCCCTCAATAAAGAAACCAATTGAAGTATTTCGGGGATATTTTTAGAATTTCTTCAGTTACTTGACCGGGACGACTCTTCGGGTCTCGTTGAGCTTAATTTTAGTGCTCTTGGTACACTAACGCCGTCACGATACAGACAAATAAACAGAATCACCTCAATTCGTCGCAGTTTTGCAATCAAAATAAATGTACACAAAGATCCTTAAGCGTAACATTGACCTCTTTTAAAGGAGTACATTGATCAAACTCGATAACTGTTTAAAGGCAGGCTCCAAGGATTGTTAAGCTGAAAAATGTAAGACCCACGCTCGCGTATTTACTGGTTACAATCTTTCTCATTTGGTTAATGAGTTCATCACAATAGAGGCAACCGTCGATTGTGACCAGTCAGAACTATCCAAAAATAATGCACTCATCACAATTCTTCAACAACACTCAAAGTAAAAAGGGAAATATAATGAATTTATAAATTTAAACCTACAAAAATTAAGTGAGATTAGAAAGGAATTAAGCGCCAACCTTTGGTAGCTTGCAGCAGTTGAGTGCTTTGCAGTATTTTATATCAACATCATCTGTAAAGAGTTTCGGGTCCGATCTAAATTCAAAATAGAAATAACCGTTTACAAACACAATTAAATATAAGTGATCAAATAAAACAAATAACTTTTCTAAACGGGAACGACACACAAGCAATTTCCAACGAGACAAATCGTAAAATCATCGCACAGAAAGCGAAGACAGCAGGAACGATAAAAGAGGGACACGTCCAACTAAAATAATGACATCTTTGATCTCACCGCTTCGTTCCCCCTTTCATCACCGCAACAATGAATTTGATTGGTGGATGATGATGCGCCCTTCGCACGTACGAGAGTGTAACCGAAAAACATAGTTACGGTAGAAACAATAATCTTACCTCTGAGTGAGGCGCTCAATCGATGGTGGAACTTATTCAAGAGATGCGCTCTTCCGGTAACCACGTGCATTCAAATTCATTCAAATGATGCAGACGATTACATGCATAACAGTGAGTTGATCGGATTGACTCGCACGAAATTGGAAATATCAAGACAATCGTACGGGCAAGTTTATGGTGAGTAACCTTAATGCATGTGATGTCCTGAAACTGAATTAAATTACTAAACACGAAAGTCAAACGGGATACGTTTTTTTGAAGTCCTGTTTAGTCGACATTAAGAAAACTAAACCAAGCAACCTCAACACATTTTAACTTAATCTAAAACTTTGGGTAAAAATGCACTGAGAAAAAAAAGGGAAAAGAAAAAACCTAACCTGACACTGGTTGAGCTGCGTCTCGAGGCAACGGAGATATTGTCTTCTTCTGCCATCACTGCAAGGTTCTCAATACACTGAAACACAAGCCTCATGAGGTTATAAGATGATTAGGCAACGAGAGCGCCAATGCAACTCTCCCCCCCCCAAAAAGATGGCTTTGCGGCAAAAAAATATTTTGTTAAGATTTTAGAAGCAACTAGTAATTTGCCTAACTAATGTAAAACTGCTTCATTCATGATTAAAAAAACTACATTATTCAAGAATAACAATACCTTTTAAATAGCAAAAACAATATTCATGTCGCGTTAACACAGACAGAGTAAATAGATAATAGTTAAAGTGGAGTTTTCCAGCAGTTAAAGGTGCCTACCTTAACAATTTTAACATCAAAAAAGACAAAGATACTGCAAAAAGTATTTGAAAGAGTAGTGAGTGACGACGAAAGTCGACTTCCTGTTTCATTTAAGCTTAAACGCCACTGGTTGAGAGAAGCTAATTTATTCCGGCAAACTAAACCTACGTTTTTAACTGATGCATTTACAAATTGAAGCCAGCTGACTACACCTGCTACACACCGGAAGTTTCCCTCGGTAACCGTGACGTGAGCTATCGAGTGCACCAACTAAACTTTTTCCTTATTACCTAAGACAAAATCGTGATTATGCGGTGCAAGATTCTGGAAAAAACTAGCCTCGTAAAATTCTTTGGGTTCTTAGGGAGTTTATAAATGAAGAACACAACTCATCACTAGAGAAGCGTCACCTCATTTAGATGGACGGGCGAAAGTGTAAACTTGTCGGCGGAAATCACTTTTAACAGCCAATCTCCACGTAACATCTAGAATAATATATAATTGTTTTTTTTTTTCACGTTCTAATAGCTAAATACGTCTATAAAAAAAAATACTCCAGGCAAGTAGTCAAACTTCAGATTATATGGTACAAAAAGAAAATACAGAACGTTTTCGTAAATTAAAATAAGAAAACTTTCAAGCATGGAATGATAAGATTCTGTTAACATGTGCAACGTCTACTTTAACATGTTTTCTTAAAGCCTAGTTAATTTTCGCATTTCATCGACGATTAGAATTCGGTATTTTTACACCCGAAACAAAGTCGCTGGTTGACATTCCATCCTTTAGGAAAAGTTTGAAATGGTGCCATGCTGATATTTGATATTTAACGTTTCCCAAGGTACATCTAATATTCCTCCCTCAAGATTCCAAAAGCGTTTATTAGTAGGCGTTGGTTGAGTATAAGACATAGAGAAGGCTTTTAAACGTGGTGGGTGCAGGGAACTCACGAGCCGACTGGCCGCCCACCTGGATGAAGAACTGAAGCCGTTCGCCCAATACAACGGTCTCAAAACTTTTAGAAGCCGTAAAAATCTTGAAAATAAATCCTCAACACACCAAATCAAAAGCATGTTGAAGCTGCAAAATGACTCGCCTGAGCAAAAAATGATAGGTGAATTTCGTTAAAGAAAACCGACAATTCTTACCATTCCGGAACATAAAGAAAACTGAATACTGTGTAGAAATGATCGAGTTGATAGTGGCACAAAACATGGATGCAAATGGTACAAGTGTCGTAAGCCAACTGAAGCAAATGACAAAGGGAAATATTCGAATGAAAATAAGGTCCACGCATACACTATCTGTAAGATTTTCCAAAGTACTTGTACAAGTTTTAACGTCCGCTGTCAGGTAATTTAGGACAACCTTTGAAAATGAATCATTTCGAATTCTGTTGATTCCGGAGAAGTAACTTTTTAAGATAGCTGCTCAAACCTGACAAAAAATACAAAAAGGTGAGCCGTAGCAAAGTCAAACTATAGGTTTGTTTGTCATGATTGGGCTAAGGGCCGATTGCTGTTTATAGCTGACTAACCTTGACAAAGAGAGGGCCTGGTTTAGAAACAAAAGAACTTCCCTATGTTAAACGTCCTGTCTTAGTTTACTCAAAAAGTGAGGCCGGTACTGTGATAATCTGGTAAGTTACCTGGCTTATATCAGAAGTCCAAGCAGCTTTCTCTTGTGGTGACGGAGCCATTAAAGTTACAGTATAGGGAGGTCCTGGCTCAGGCTTATCACGTGATCGCACAATCAATTTAAATGTGAGATCGTCAAGGTCAAATTCCTGGCATCCTCGGCCACCGAGGCCTTCGACATCCCCTGCGAAACAACCATACTTGTGTTCACACTCAGGTTCAAGCGGAGGAACAAAGTTCACCCGGCAGGAGACGAAAAATCATCATCAATAAATTCAACACCAGCAGCAATTTATGCTGTGATTGCCCAGTAAACTGAAGTCAAGTTTTAAATTGTCTACCAGCAAGTTGGACATCGTTCTTTTAATTCCTATGACGATGGGAAACCTTATCTTAGTAAGATTACTTAGTAAGTTTGTCTTAGTAAGTAAACTTACCGTCTTCAAAGCAGTCCTCGACTAAAGTTGCATCAGCGAGAGAAATGTTAGCACCATTCTAAGACGAATCAAGGGAAAAATACTGAGTCAAAGTATGCGAGCTCTTATTCTTCAATAAAAACTTTCAACTGCAAGTTTCCAAAAGGCAAAATCTAATCATCGATTTTCCCCAACGTCTGCCATACATTTCAGATGAGTTTAGATCTAGGAATTTTGTGTGAAATCAAACGATATCCGTGCTTGAAATTTTCCTTTTTTCCCGTTGCCCCTCTGTTTGTTTACTTTATACATAGATATTGTCATGAGATATTCATTCTTCGTCACCACTGGCAGTAGAAGGGTTGAACCAAGACAGGGAAACATCATGGGTTACGACTGGCGACCCGGCATCATCGAAGAAGTGACTTATACCCTATTCATACCAGCAAAAGATGTTTGGTTAAACTGGGATCGACTGAATGAAAATCAGAGACAGGTTTTGAATCCATATCCTATAGGCATTATTTACATTTCAGGTCATTATCAGATCTTTGATTTTTACTTTAGGTTCGCAACGAGTAGATGCGTTCAACGAATTTCGCTTTGCTTTCAGAAGACTTTGCCAAAGGCAAATTAGGAAAATTTCCTCAACAACTGGGATTGCCACCTCATATTGAAGCTAACCCATTGCTGCACTGAGTGATACCTTAGTTAGGTGAAGGCGGCCGCTGGATGATCTAGTGGTCAGCAGCAGGGAGCCAGAGAACAAAAAGCACTGGCGAACAGTCTCTTTCCTTCCTTCCGAAGATTTGAGCGACAACCCACCAAACGTTTTGCCCTTACGATTTTCTGTAACCTGAATTAAATTTCCTACGAAAAAATACGCACAAAAGTTAGAAATTTTTCTTTGTGAGAAAAAAAATCAATAAAACCCATGAGATGACAAAAATGTCTGCGATACGTTCACAGCTGATGAGTGAACATAACAATTGATGGAAACTTCAAGTGAAACATTACATTACCTTGTCTTATAAAAATCTGATTGACATCTAAAAGCATATCACAGCCTTCCACAATCTGACGCTCAATAGACAGGTTTTTACGGATGTTTTCTGTCTCACTGACTTCGTCATGCATTACCTGACAAACAAGATGCAAAAATGAGACAGAGATGGCGATTGAAGGGAGATCAGTAATCAGCCAATGGCAGACGATGGTTCATATCAACTGCAGTGTTAAAATTCTGTAGAACATTAGTCTGAATAAAGAATCACTATCTCTTAGTTGTGATCATTCGTTTGTTCCTTTGATTTTGTTTTCTTGTATTTTTGTTTGGTTTGCTTTTGGAAATGGGAGTGGGGGATATGTTGCGTTTTTAAAGAGAATCTGCTTCCAATTTTAGACGCAAAAAAAATAAACTTCCGACCTGCAACTTAAATAAGTTTTGATGATTGAGTGGTACAATTCATAAAAACCCAAGTTAGTAACGAAATTCAGGCGAAAGTATGGAAAAGATGCCAGTTAGATTGTTCTGATAAAAAAATCCCTATTCACACCAATTCCCTATCCTTATCATTTCATCGTCCATGCCATTCCTTATTTTTTGGTCGGGATCATTTGCGGTCCAATATAGGGATCACTTGCGGTCCGGGATCATTTGCGGTCCAATTTGGGGATCATTTGCGGTCCGGGATCATTTGCGGTCCTGGGATCATTTGCGGCCTCGTACAGAACTAGCATGGCGTTCTTATCCACCAGCTCCAATGCACTTAAAAAAAATTTCAGGGCAGCTAAAAAATTCCACTCTACGACTTTTATCGAAACTGTACACACCGCAAATTACGCGGAAAAATGGTGGACTGAGCTGGGGTTTGTGAATTTTTTTCAAGTTAGTTCTTGCTGACCTTCCTCTTGATAAGAAAGCTCATCAACCATAAATCACTGATAATACTAGCAAATAGACCTATTCGTCCTACATAAGGACGACAAGGCGGCCACAAACGTAAACAATGTCAAAGACACCGACGATACAAGCGTAAGTATAACATCTTGCTACAACAGATCGCTAAAAATTCAGCGGAATAACCCATAGGTTATATAGATTGCTACAAATTAAAAAAAAAATCCAAAACAGACAAACAAAACAAAACAAACGCGTTATGTAGCAATAACGATCATGCAGATCAAAAGACATGACTTAATAACGAGACACAAGACTTACACCGGTGCTGAGACAAAGTCACTGCCCATTTCGTTCTACACAGGTGAAACCGGAGACACAGTCCGCCCATGTGTTTAGCCAAGGGGGGGGCTGTTTCTATCCTTAAAAGTAACCGGAAACGTCATTCACCATTATTCAGTACTCGTCTGAAGTTCAAATTTTTCAAATTCGACACTAAATAATGCTAAAATGGACATAGCCTGTTCCAGGCTCTCAGTCAGTGGAGCCAACTAAAGTAGGCGTGCGAAATATGGCGTTCCTAAATTAAGCGGGAACGACAAAGCTTTTTCCAATACAACCGCCTATGGCCGTATCCACCAACTGAGAGCATGGCACAAGCTAAGAAGGGGATACGATAAGATACCTCTGATCCCCTTTAGCAGAAATACGTTTTTTTTTTTGCAAAGAAATATATTTGCTTTTAAACTTAACTAAAATCCAACGCGCGCACCGACTGGTCAAAAACCTAATCTCTTGACTTCTCAGGCTGATGATCCACTCAGAACGTTGGCAGGACACTGGATTTTCAAATTTCTCGAGTGTTCTGTCAACATCCCAACTGGGTTTTTACGCCAATGAATCGCTGGAAGGAGGTGCGGTCTAAAAAATGACCCTACAGCTTGAGAGCGAGAAAAAGTTTTGAGCAACAAACTTGTAGAAAAACAGTTTAAGGGGTCTGGTTGACCGTTTAAACAACAGCAGACACTCCAGCCAAAAATAGACATATGTTAGCGCCCGACTTTCTTGACTGTTTTCGCCTTGATGTCCGAAAGTGTGAAGTAAATAAGAATTCATTTGTAGCTGTCACAACTAAGCGTTTACCTGTGATTTGCACGTTTGCAAATTTTACGAGACATTGTTAGCTACGAAAATGTAAGAAACAATCGAAAGACAATAGGCGAAAAAAACACAGGCGGACAAAAAGAACTAGGAATATTGAGAAAGAGGGAGGGATGTTCACCTTAATTGTTCTCAAGTTGTTTATGGTTTTGAATTTTTAATGTCTAAAATTCGCAATACAGTACACAAGTCATTCCTTCCACAGCTTCAAAATGTGACGTTTATCAGACGGAGTAAAGTCGTCTACGCCGAAAAAGTTATGAGCAAGTCAGATGTGACATAAGAGAACGGGTTGCTAGAAGTGTATTGCAGTGCTCGAAATTAAAAAAGAGTCTGGTTGTCCCTATTTCCAAAGCTGGGCATCCAAACCTTCGAACCTAGTTGCCCTGATGAATCCTTGGTTGCTTCGTGGAAACCGGTGGTAGTAAGTTCACAGCTCAAAAAGCAATCAAAGTCGCTAGTCTTTCCATATTTGTTGAGGTTCTCGTTTTCTCTTCTCGTTTTCCTCTCGACATTGGGCGAGAGCTCAATGTCGCTCTTCACCCAGATGCTTCCCATTCAAAAGTCAATTGTGTGTACTTTCCCTCCTTCCCTCAAGGACCGTAAGAGAAAAAAGCAGCCGACTACAAGTTTTATCTTTACGTGCACATTTGTTTACGGTAGTTCGATGAATCTTAACTCAAGCGGGAAATACTTACTCAGCGCTATCATTAATGAATCATTCAAAATGTATTTAGGTAATGGGATTCGCCGGTTAACGGTTAGTCCAAAAATTAGGGCTTCTAGTTTACCATTCCTACTGAAGTTTGGTTGTAGCTCTGGTGGCTTACCGTGGAAAGATCTTCCAAGACACTTTGCGCATACTGTAACGTATTTCTCTCCACGTGATCATGAGGAGTAAGAGCGAGTAAGTCATGCAAAGTTATAATGTACGCCGGCACCTGTTTGAAGAAATTACAAAAGAAAATTACAAAACCATTGGTTAATTGATTTGTTTATTTATTTATTTATTCAGTTCGCCAAAAAATACAAGGTAATAATAATGATAATAAAATAGACAGGACGAGGAGGCCTCCAGAAACCACTAGGCTTATACTCGGGAGGACTCCTCGGATACAATGTACTTCATAATAACACAAGGGAAGGTCTCGGAGCATATTTCTTCCCCTGCTTCCTTGGGAAGTGAATTTCATACTGTTGGACCTTGATAAAGGATGGTAAAGAGTTACTCGTTTGCTTTACATGCATGAGGACAGTAATCATTAGATGTACTGGTATATTATGAATATATTTGATCACTTGTGACAAACAAGCTGCAGAGTGAGGGCGATGCTTGCGGCGATGCTTATATTAACATCGCATTGGCTCTAACCCCGGGTCACTTAAGTTCTCGTACTGCTATGGCACTTGTAGTTGTTCTTCTATTAAAGACTAAGAAAATAAAAAGAAGAAATAGGAGGAGTATCTGTTACAAATCAGCACCCGGAGTAATATCCTAACAATCAAAGAACCATTTTCAACTCCAAACATTGTCAACGGCGACGCATGTATCAGGCTCTCAGCGAGTGATAAGGATAGAAAGAACGTGAGGGGGAAATACGGAGAGAAAAGGTCTGGAAAAGAAGACAAACAGTTGCTTCAGTTCGCTTTTTACAGCAAAATCCAAAAAGGACAGCTTGCTCTTACTAGATTTCTTTTAGGATTGTTCGTCTATATATTAAAATTATACATATAAATATTCATTTTCTATAGAATTCTTTTTTTTTTTTCCTCTCGTGTGCCCGCCTCGAATAGCCCTAGCTATTTGCGGGCCCAAGCAGTGTAATTTTCCGTATTAAGCTTAAATAAAATTTGTTGTTGTTGTTGTTTAGATTTTGATTTTCAAGTCGGCTTTCTTTTTCCAGATGGGGGGAAAGACTCAAGTTTCCTTTTCCCCGACATGTTTTGAGGTCTGAAGGACTGTGAATATATTTGAACAGCAGATTAAGAAGTGAAGAGAAGGGTGGTCTTCGCAGTAATGCATACTGACCACCCAAGCAGCGGTAAAAGTGAAGCCTTAAATAAATTGAGACTTGTACGGGAGTTGAACCCATGATCTTCACGATACCGTTGCATCACCCAGACTGAGCTAACAAGCCAACTATGGTTGCTGGTCATTTTTTTATTCGTAATAAACCCGTGGGCGATGAATGAACGACTGTGAATACAATAATATCAAATATTTTAACTGCAGAGTAATAAATGAACACAGCAGTGAAAATAAATTTTTCGAGGTGTTACCATTGTGTGTTGGTCTTACGCATTCCACAGACTATCAGCGTAATGTCAGCAAAATCGAATCGTGCCTAAAAGCACAGCACAGAACTAGCATGGCGTTCTTATCCACCAGCTCCAATGCACTTAAAAAAAATTTCAGGGCAGCTAAAAAATTCCACTCTACGACTTTTATCGAAACTGTACACACCGCAAATTACGCGGAAAAATGGTGGACTGAGCTGGGGTTTGTGAATTTTTTTCAAGTTAGTTCTAGCTGACCTTCCTCTTGATAAGAAAGCTCATCAACCATAAATCACTGATAATACTAGCAAATAGACCTATTCGTCCTACATAAGGACGACAAGGCGGCCACAAACGTAAACAATGTCAAAGACACCGACGATACAAGCGTAAGTATAACATCTTGCTACAACAGATCGCTAAAAATTCAGCGGAATAACCCATAGGTTATATAGATTGCTACAAATTAAAAAAAAAATCCAAAACAGACAAACAAAACAAAACAAACGCGTTATGTAGCAATAACGATCATGCAGATCAAAAGACATGACTTAATAACGAGACACAAGACTTACACCGGTGCTGAGACAAAGTCACTGCCCATTTCGTTCTACACAGGTGAAACCGGAGACACAGTCCGCCCATGTGTTTAGCCAAGATTCACACCTCCCGCTGCTTGCTGAGCGTTCGCGCCTTGTTTATTGAAGCCAATTTGGAAGAATTAACCAAATAACAACAATCGATTGAAGCGTCAATGTCACTCTATATTACAAGCAAAACAACTAAACGGAAAATACTAGCATCGTGTTTTTAAGGGGAAAAACAGGTTAGTTTCTTGATCCACATAATCTTAAGATAAAATTGGTCTCAGTGGAAGGAAGAATCCCTTAAATTTAGATTTATCGACAAGAATCGAATTTCCGTGCAGGTTTAGCGTTGGCTTGTTGCATCTGAATATGTTTACGCGCGGAAAGCGTTGTCGAGACAATAGCTAAAAGAAAAAAGCGAAACGCAGATATATAATGGCTGTCGGTCTTAAGTCAGTTGGTTGCCTCGCCATCACCATTTAGCACAACCAAATTAGCAAAGAATTTATCCTTTTAAAAAGATGCTTTTCAAATAACGAAAGCAACGAAAGGCTTACTGCGAGAAGTACTAATAGGCGTGCGAAAATAGGCAGAGCATAAGAGTGGACTTTGTTTAGATACTGATTGATATGGAGACTGACTTCACGAAAACTACTGGCGCGTAGAAATACACAAGGGAGGAAAAAAATCAATAAAAAAAAATAATAACAATAAATAAAGCAAGTCCGCAATCTAAACCTTGACAAAAATACAAGTCAATGACTTCGCTTGTGTAAGTTTCGTTTGGAAAAAACTGCCGCGGTTATAACTAAAATAACAGAGCAGAAAATTAATGGGTTAGGGACAAAGACAGCATCTGTTGTTATAAGTATTAATCCAAAAAGATACGACGATAGTTCATTTTTACCACCGACGAATAGCGCAAGCGCATATGCCTTCAATAAATGTATTATTGAAAATCGGAGAAGAAATACCTCGTAATCTCTCTTTAGTTAACGTTAATATTGTTTATAACTGCATGCGGAATCATGGGTACATAAATAAAATTAATTCTATGGTCCTACTCCTCAATCCTGCACCAATAAGTGTTTGTAATAAAATTGGACTCCCAGTGGAGTTGTTCTAGACATATACTTTAATGCTGTGAGAGACAGCACCAAAAACAAGAACAATAGCCCCGCAAGGAAATTTTTAAGCCTACAAACTATTTTTGCCACATTCAGAATAATGTTAAGACAAAAACATAAAATAAACTGGTTGGTTAGCGGTCATAAAAAAAGGATTTTCCTTAGAGCTCCCTAATCGACTACTGCAACTATCAAGATAGCTATTCAAGTTAATAATTCATCGACGATCAATTAAGCCTCATATCAAGTCACCTCCCTGCGCAGACTGGAACATGCAAAATCTGCGCTAAACAGCAAACTGCATGGTCAAAAAAATGTGTCACTGCTAACAAGTTTTCATTAATTAAACTTTGTGGGCTGCGGCTGTCGTCGTTCTTCCAAATATCGCCGCTAAGAGAAAGCAAATGGCTCAGTTTGGAGACCAGAAGGGTCATTGACTTCTGATATCTACGCCTTAAGACATGAATTACAATGTTTGACAGACAACAGCGGCTATATACACAACCTGCACTTCCAGTTACTGGAAGCAGATCGGATTTAAGACCACGAATGAATTTGAAGCTGAACATTTCACAAGTTCGAAGCCGGAAAGATCATCAAAGGTATCAAAAGGTTATCTGTATCGCTTTTCAGGTATAATACAGGCACCGTCATGAGGACCAAGAAGAACTACAACAAATTTACAGAAGGACAAGGACGTGGACAGTGTATGGTGACTTTCACTCGAAGCAAATGTGTGCGGGACGTATGAGAAAATAAGACAACAATTCAAAGACAGTGAAAATATACATGAAAGAGGTACCAGATGTCAAAGTAAAAACTGAAGGCAAAGCGTATGTCAAAAATTTTCTTGTTCATTAATTTTGAAAGATGTTCTCATGGGTAAAAGAGCTTGAACATGGTATATGAATAGCCATCTTGTATATAAGAGATCTCAAATTCTTCCAAGTTTAACTACGGTTACTTTCCCGAATGAATAACACCTCCGGTCATTTCAATTAGAAACGGCTAACAGTTTGTTCTTCTTAGCTTTTTTTATCTCTTTGATGCGAGATTTTCCCTAGAAAATCCAAACTGTATTAAGTCAACATGATTACCTTACTCAACACCGTACAGTAACAATAGAGGCGTTATTTACCAAGCGTGAGGTCAAGATGGCGGTATAATGTTTGGCCGAGTTCCTTTCCTGCGTTTTTATGGACCGCGACGAAAATGAACAAGGTTAACATCCCGCCATCTTGACCGAGCAAGCTTGGTCAATAAAGGATTTACTGTATAGCAAAAAGATTTCGCTTTGATAAGAATCAAGAATGACTTGTTTGTTTCGAGAGCCGGGAACAGTGTAGCACAATAAATCCAGGAGGGTCATTTAATTTTTTCTTTGTTTTGACTGTCTTCTGCCCCTGTTTGCGACTTCGTTGCCGACATTGTCCAAAGTTGCCAACTTTTTAAGTCAGCTCTACGCATTTTTTTTCTGCTGCGGGATCAAAGCGGGCAATCCCGAGCGGGTAGCCAATCAGTAGAGAGGAGTCGCTTCATCTTGCCCGCAGGCGCTGCCAGCTATATAAACAAGATTATAAACGACAATTACTTTCTAAAGCAATTGTCGGGTTACTCAGTGATGCGTTCGTAAAGACTCTGCCGATCCCTTAAAGAATAGGCATAACTAGATTTCCTACCAGAAAAACATAAACGTGAGCAAAGTGCCCTCACAACCGAAGGATTCGAAAGAAAAGGCACGTGCATAGTTCAAGAGCCGATAGCATTCAGATTCGTGTTGAACTAAGAGGTTGCCAATCTTGTTCACGATATCACCTGTAAAGTGGTGCAACTGACTAGCAAATAAATTCTCACCGTTTTTCTATGGTTTTCCCAAGTGCCGATGCGCACAGCGCTCCGCTACCGGTAAAAAATTCGCCCAAAAGCATGTGAATGTGGCCGTAATGTCTCGAACCAGCACGGCATAGAATATTTCATAGTCAGAGCTTAAGTACCGTAATTGATTAAGATATTCGGCTATGGGAATACCTAGTTCCCTTCGCAGAATTTGTTCATTTTCAATAGCGAATCCCTTACTAACCCTATACATTGGAGCAGTTAGGAAATATTCCAGCGTCCGTCCGCTACAAATTGCTTTTTCCTCATACAGCTTAAGAAGACGACTGAACGCAGGCCGTTGTTTACACTCAGCCAAAGTCTAACGGAAAAAAAAAAAGAGAAAAAAAGGAATATACTTTCAACAGACAGTCGTAAAGAACAAAACAAATTGACGATTGATATCTACAGTTGTTGTGGGACAGTCCTAGTCCTACTTGGCAGCCGACATCTCCTAGCCAATTATTTCCAGATATATATAAAAAGTTGGAAATCGAAGTCAAGAATTCTTTATGTGACCAAAAAACCGAACTTGAGGACAGTGATACTGATCTTGGTGCTCTTGGATCAATAGTAACCAGCTGGAGAGAAATTGTAAAAAAAAAAAGAAAAAAAAAAAAAGACGCTAGTAATAAAACAGATACCCAAACTTAAAATGTCAGTCAAACTAACTGAAGGACCGTCCGCTGAGAACTCACCTGTAGAGAATAATGATGATTCCGGACGTATTCTTGATAAATGTTTAACATGGGTAGTAACATATCAAATAAGTCACCTGTATGTGGAAAATGGTAGATACGTCTTAGATCACCCTGTATACACACCCTTCTGTATTGTTAACGAATAGGCGCTGCCGTCTCTTACATGTGGTTTGCAGGAAATAACAAATATGTGGCGCTCTCACTCACAGAATATACGGCATTATAGTTCACCACTAAATTTTCTCCGATTCTTATTGGTTTAAATTGATCACGTAACGCGATAGTGTTCATCCATGGAGAGACTATCAGCCCTTATAGTTCACCACTAAATTTTCTCCGGTTCTTATTGATTTAAATCGATCACGTGACGCGATAGTGTTCATCCGTGGAGAGACACTATCAGCCCATAGTGCCCGCCCGCGGAAAATACCCGGATGGATAGTGCCCGTCCGCGGAAAATACCTGGATTGATAGTACTCATCCGTGAAAAGTTTTGAATAGTTTGACGGCCGCGAAGTTAGGCAGATCGGAAAAACAGTGACTTTTCAATTCTGACAGGTATAACGTATTATTTAGCCAATGTACGGTTGCGAATTATTGACATTTGTGACAAGCTGTAGGCGCGGAAGAAAATTTAGTGGTGAACAATAAAAACAATAGAGTGTTTATGTCTCGGAACTATCGGTCTGATAGTTGCCCCTTGGAAATTTGATGTTCTTAAAACTAGCATATTTGCCCTCAAAGCTTCGCTTCTCGGGCAAATATTTGTTTTAAGAACATCAAATTTCCGCGGGGGCAACTATCAGCCGATAGTTCCTCGACAGAAACACTCTATTGTTTAAGTAGTGCCGGTCCGCGGAAAATACCCGGATGGATAGTACTCATGCGCGAAAAAGTTTGAATGGTTTGACGGCCGCGAAGTTAGAAAGATCGGAAAAACAATAACTTCAATTCTGACAGGTATAACGTATTATTTAGCCAATGTACGGTTGCGAATTACTGACATTTGTGACAGGCTGTACGCATGAATAAATATTTGATTGATCTGCATTTAGTGGGTTTTGACTGTTTTTCAACTGGCGCGAGGAAGAAAATTTAGTGGTGAACAATAAAGACAATAGACTGTTTATGTCTCGGAACTATCGGTCTGATATTGAGTTGCCCCTTGGAAACTTGATGTTCTTAAAACTAACATATTTACCCGAGAAGCGAATATTTGTTTTAAGAACATCAAATTTCCGCGGGGGAACTATCAGCGGATAGTTCCTTGACAGAAACACTGTATTGTTTTCAAATAGTTTCAAGAGATATTATTGGTTGGTTTAATGCAGTAACTAAAGAAAAATTTTCTTCAGAAAAGCAGTGGCAAGCTCTACACACCTAAGATCAGTGTTGGCCAACTTTCCATCCGCGTTTGAAGACCTTTTAGGAAGATTTGATGCAAGAAAAGAATTGTCTCACTGCAATCAAAATATAGGGAAAAGTTAAGCTTTGACATATACGCCCCCCTTTACCATTATGCACTCTCTGATTGAAATTAGCCTCTACCATGTTCTGTAACGATGTTATATGATATTATACTCTTACGTTGTATTTTAAGCACTTGGGTTAAAATTCATTTATAAGTAATCCACAAGAATGTACCATTATTAGAAACAAACAAGTATTTTAACCTTGGTTTCTCACACACAGAAAAGTTTTACTCAAAGACTGTATGTTTTACGTTAGAGTTTAATTTCAATTTATCAATTACCTCATATGTTCATTTTAATAATATTTAACTAGACACTCGCCAACACTCAGCTGAAGGTTATTGAAATGTGTTGGTCAATTTTAAAATGACTCAGAACTTTGAACAAAAGTCCAGTTTTCAGTAAATTATATTAAAAAGATCATTTTGTTCATTCATGAATAAACTGCTGATGTATGCCTTTGCTTATACACTTGCAGTTAACCTATTTAGTATTTGGTTTACAAATGTTAGGGAGAGGGGCTATCTAATTTCTTCTAACTCCTCTTCTGAATTTAAGCTGAACCACTGGTTAGATTCATAATTATTAATCTCACTGATTTCAAATTTTGCACAATACCTATTTAGAAAGATACAATTGACTTCTTCGTGACTTAATGGGGGCCTCTTGGAGCTGGCAGCCATTTTAAAAGGCCTGAAGAAACATGACACAAGTGTGGACATGTTTTGCACATATTCATTTTCAGTCTCCACAAGCTGAAAGCAAATTGAGTTCCTCTGACGCATGCTTTCTGCATGAGGTGAACGGATGTAATTTTGAACGATACTGTGCCAACGGCGACGACAAAGCCAGCCTCTAATGAGGCTTTGTACCTGTTAATGAGCGAGTTTAATTATTGCATATCAAACAGTAACACTTTTAACCACAGAAAAAAAATGAAAAGCACAAATTACCACCCTCACAAAATTGCTAGTGAAATATATACTGCTATGGTTTTAATTGAACATCTGTTAATCTGATGGTAGCTAGCAGAGGTATCAAAAGAATTGCCTCTATGAATAGTAAGTAAAATTTACTGAAGGTAAATAGACTAAGCTCTTGAAAGGAAGAATTCATGTTTCAATTCAGCCTTAAATGTCACCATCAAAATGATAGTGAAAGAGAGAATTACATTCAGTTAACACTTTGTTTTAATGCGCTGAATGTTAAGTGTCAGGTGTTTCACCTTTTAGAACTACAATTCATCCTAGAAGGATTTTTAGGTTTATCTCTACTTTTTGTATATGAAGAGGGCAACAAAATAACCAGAGAAAGAGGCTCTCTAACAGGGATTATGCTGTTAAATGTATATACACCTTACTTATGGCAAATGAAATGTACCACAACAATATTAAGCAATTACTGGATTTGCTGGGCCTGATATAATTTATTATGAATTATCAATGATGAGGTCTAAGTTATCTGCCAAGGCCAAAGGCTGAGGCAGGTTAGGCAGACAAAAGGTTTGATAATTCATGTTATTATACATTACACTTACTATGAAACATCTGATTGGTCAAGAGCATTCAGTCAATGGCATATAAAGTTGACATGATAATAACCCTACATTTGCAGCAGATATTGGGTTATAATTTCGAGTTCAAAGTCTGCTTAGTTTCGAAGCTCCTCATCCATGTAGTGTTTAGTTTAGTTCAGTTTAGTTTATTGAGGTTCACCAACATACAACACAAAAATATGTATAAAAAGGTACCACATAGGCAGGAGAAAAAACAGGGCATGCCCCAATTGACATTTGTTCTCCTAATAAAAATCACAATATTCATAAAAAATATTTGAAAACCAATGAAAGTCAGGTTAGAAACTAGGGCGGAATGTACTTGTCCATTTTGTCTATATAGTGAAGTAGAAGAGAGTGTTTGAAGGTTTTGGCTTGTTTCAGTTCGGGAGAGAGATTGTTCAAAAGTTTAATTGATCTGGTTGAAGTGTTGTCAAACTTTTGCAAAAAAGGCTAAATGCTTCCCTTCTGTTTCTGAGTAGGAATTGAAAGACTGGACCAAGAACAAAGATTCCAAAAACACCAAGAGAATAACAAAAACAAGTGTAAAACTTCTGAATGATTACTTGAGGGAGAAGAACCTGTAGGAACCACAAGATAAAACGGCTTCAGCCAAAATTCTTAGGAAGTTTTACACCAGTGCTAGAAAAAGGAATGGCAGCCTGTACTTAAAAAGTTGCATGACTTCTTCTGATTTGGACTCAACTGCCATTTCAAGATGAAAAGACCTTTAAAAAAGGACATTATCAAAGACCCAGAATGCACCAAGGTGAAAAAGGTATTTCAAGCAAAGAGTTTTGATTTAAAATGGTGGGGTTTAGGGAACATTGAACATAAATCTGTTATTTCAGAAAACAGCCTTAAAAAGCTGTACAAGTGCGGACTTTTTAACTTTGATGAACAGAACACTTCAAAACAAAGTGTTCTTCGAGATAATGCTGTACTTTTGCCACTGTGGTTGGCAAAACCTCAGGGAGCTGAAAAAAAAGACTTTTCATTTTCAACAGATGACACAGGTCTTCAACGCATGTGCAAAACCAGCAACAAGTTGATGAAGAAAAGGAGAGAGGAGGACGAGGGCTTTGAAGGTAGAATGATGTTTGAAAAAGCTGGACTTCACTGTCCTGTTGCTTCATTGGAACCCTACATAAAATGTACATCTTGATCCCAAGAATGAGTTTTTGTTCCAAATACCAAAGGAAGGAAGTAAAATGAAATGCATCTTCAAGGAAGCAGAATTGACAAAGGATTATAGCAATTACTCAATAAGAGCCACCCCAGTTACAATCTTGGATAGGTGCCAATATGAAATGTGCCAATATGAAATGTGCCACATCATGCCTGCTGGTAGCCACAAAAGTGAGTAAAATAATTATATGGAGCTACTGCAAAACAGACACTAACACCAAAAGACAGAGTATCTCTACCCACCAGGTTTCTAAAACATACAATTTTTCTCAATGTAAAGTCATTTTCAACTACTACAGAGACTTTCAATTACTGATAGACTGTATTTAAAGTACTTTTCTTTTTTCTGTGTACTTCATTTGGACAAAGATTTTATTATAATTGTGCCTGTTTATCAGTGGTTTTTGCATTTTTTTATTATGCTTAGTGATGTAAGTGAACCTTTTGAATTAAAGCCACTCTGTCTTCTTTTCCAAGTTGTTTGAAAAATGTGTAAGAAAACAATTATTGAATTCAGTTTTCACATGATATTGTGAATCATCAAAACCTCGTGGTTGTGTTATCTGCTTCAGCCTTCCCCTTTGGCAGATATCTCAGACCTCAGTTTTGATTATTCATGATATCGTGCTCAACTTCACCCAATAATTGATCAAATAATTATATCATGCAAAGACAAAGTTCAATAACTGTTTTATTGTACATTTTTGAACAATCTGCAAAAGAAGACAATTCTCTCTGAGTTTGAGAAATACACAGACAGGGGTTTTGGCATATGAAACAGGGGTTTTGGCATATGAACTTGACATAATTACTCAATATCTGCTGCAGATGTTGGGCTATCGTGTCAACTTCATATGCTATTGTATATTGATGTTGAGCTATCGTGTCAACTTCATATGCTATTGTATATTGACTGAACGCTCTCTACCAGCCAGAGTTTTCATAGTAAGTCTAATATATACAATAACAATCATTGTCAACATCAAATAATTATATCAATATTATCAATTAGGGCTAAAATTTCTCAGCAAAATCAAGGAGTAATTTATTACCCATTTAGCTACTTACTTTGTTATTTCTCTAAAGTTTACAAGTTTACAAGTTCCAGCTGGTTTTCAGTGGATATAAAGTATCTGTTTGTCGGTATGCAGCCATGTAAGAATACTAACTACCTTTTTTATATGTTTTATTTCTTCACTTTCTTCCTCTCGTGCCTCAGCTGTCCTTTGTTTTCTAAGACTGGCAACCTGAGAAAAAAAGTCAACATTTTAACAAGGATGATGAAATGTCATGACCCACATACTAATGGTCCTTACTTGGATTTTATCAACCACAACTTAGAGATTCTTTTAAGAATTTTACTCGTGAAAACCTTGAACATTTGTTTGCAGACTGTTTTTTTTTTTTATAATTGAAGTTAACTTATCAAATGATGAAGACTTACAAGTATGTAACTCACCAAAGGTAACTCTAACAGTTTCTCCTAATTAGTAATGACATGAGAAGAAATGGTTGTGGTAGCTAAAACATCAGCTCAACCTTATGCAAGTTCACTCATAATTTTTTTTGTTCAGGGACTATGTACCTTATTTAGCAGGCCTGTGCAAAATGTTATGGTTTTCATGACTGTATTTGTAGAATATACTGTCTGTGTTCACGTACATGAAGTGTTGATTAAAGAAAGAGTTTTGTTGTTCACTAGCAAAAGTGTGGATCTCAGTTGATGTGTGTCTTGCTGAAACATGGTGTCGGGAGTGATTTTTTAAAATCTTATAGCGAGCTGCAATGCACTTGATTAACTAGTTAGGCTTCCAGTCCATTCAAGAAGTTCTAGGAGTGAAGTGCAGCCAAACCCCCTGAAGCAGATGTTATGTGTAGCAATTTCCCTCATCAACCACATGCATGGAAAGTGAAACAATGTCGGATACTGAAGCCCCTTCACTGCCAGCTCCACAAGCTATTTCCACCAGTCCACACACACACCACCTCAGATATATACAATTTCACTACAAATTTCCCCGTACCAGCAGCAATGGCTTCCTAGTAATTGGGAATTTTTCAAGCTACAATGGCAAGATTACAAAGTAGTAACTGGTTTGGATCAAAAGAATAAACCAGTACGGTCAACAACGTTCTGTTCCATTAAGGGAAAAGAGTGCCTGCAGATTTTTCGGAATCTTAATTTTGGCTCTGGTGAGTTACTATAATTTCTTCAGCACTCAAAGCACTGGAGGATTATTTTCTTCCCAAGCGAAACATGGTTTACAAAAGGTCTGTGTTTAATTCTTGTTGTCAAACACCTAACAAAATGGTTGACTGATTTGTCAATCAATTACAGAAATCAGCATCATTCTGTCAGTATGGAGCTCTTACGGAAGAAATGATATGAGATTAGTCATTGGCATTAAAGATAAGAATACAAAGGCTAGATTGCTTTGAGAGAGAGCTCTGTCCCTGGATAAAGCTCTCGACATGTGTAAATAAGTGAAGTAACAAATCAGTAGTTAAAATCAATACAAAATGATAAGAAGAAGGATAATGACGAACTGAATTTTGTTTGTGATGAGTGTTGTAGTGTTTGTGGCGACCAAAAATCTAAATTCTCAAGTTCAAGGGGGAGTCGCTCCAAAACGTGGTTAACGAGGTGTTTGGGGACTATTTTACAGATCGAGATAACAAACTAAAGTTGACTGTTTGCATGAATCTTTATTCTTAAAGGCAATCAACCACGAATCACAATCAACAAAGAAAATCACAACTAATCTCACAATCAATCAATCTATCGATCGTAAACTGAAACAACAATGCAACAAAGTTCTATCAATCTAATGAAATGTCGCAGAATACACAATCAAAGAATCCTGTGTGACAAACTGGGCCCAACATCAATAACGAGACTAAAATGACAAAGAACAATACAAATAAAACAGAAAAAAAGTTTCAAAACAAATTACAAGAATTTGGTGGCTGCATGGTTAACAGCCTATTGTTCTGAGAAAGTGAAGAACAGCTCCCCCAAAAACTGTTGGCCAACAGTTGCCCGACTGTTGGCCAACAGTCAGCTGACTGTTGGCCAACTTTTGGCTGACAGTTGGCCAACAGTTGGCCGACTGTCGTTTACCGCCTTTTGCGAAAATCTTCTGCCAACAGTCAGCTGACTGTTGGCCGTTTGTCAGCCGACTGTTGGCAGCATGTCAGTAATTTGTTGGCCAAGAGTCGGTTGAGAACCCCTGTTGAATACCAGAAAAGCCTCAGCTTGCATGGAAGAACATTGCATATTGACGTGAAATGAAACTTTCTCACTTGAGTCCGCCATTTTGTTTAGGTCTTTTTGGGACCAATCTCATCACAATCTCCTATGTTTAGGTTTTTTAGGTACCAACCCCTCACAATCCCATTGCATCATCCTCGCAGTCAAGAAACAAAATAATTTTGTTTACAGCAGCTTCTTGCAGCTTTTTTTTTGCTTTACTAAATGTAAGCAGCTTTTACTGTCGCTGACAAGTGACTACGTAAAAAAATTATAAACTAACTGAAAATATTAACCAAAAATAAACTCAAACAGACAGAGATAATTGAAAGTCCATATATCACGCCCTAAAATTAAAACAAACCGCAATGCATTATAGGGCAATTTCACAGATAAACTTACCCAGGACATACGATGATGCAATTTTAGCTCAATTTGTGGTACATCATGCGACTGATTCTACTAGAACGGTAAGGGTCGAGTAACTGCGATGTCTTTACACTTGTCAAATTTTTAAGTGTCAATTTGCTGTTGGTCAACTGTCGGTCAACTGTTGGTATACTGCCGGCAGACAGTTGGCCGACAGTCGGCTGACAGACTTTTAGGGGAGCTGTTCTTCACTTTTACTCATTGTTCTTATCTAAATGACGAGGAAACGAAAGGACAAAAGTTTACGAAGAATATTAAAAAACTTACAAAGAACTAATTAAAGTGACACTAAACTTTCCTTTTATATACACATGGTGACGTTGAAAGGTCTGATTACAAAACCAATAGAAATACAGAAAAACAGATAAACAGTGAAACTATGTACATATCTAAGATCATCCTGAAATTAGTGAACTAATCAATAATCAATAAAAAAAATGAGCCTTTTGGTTAGTGTCCTCAACAAGCGAAGATTAGCACAAGGGAATAACCTGCAAACCAAAAGAAGCCTCCAAGTAAAAAGAAACTTGCCAATAAATCTTGGAAATACAAGTACTCAGGTCAGCAAAAGAAACATGCTAAGCTGACTGATTGTCCAGCACATGGAGAGAATGTAATGATGTTGTGACATCATAGGCCCTTCAGGCATGCGCAGTACAATGAAACGACTATCGCGGATGTTGTTGTTGTTGTATTACGCCTAGTAATGGTGGGCTTTTATGAGACTTTTTAAAACTGTTGTGTTATCATCGTTTGCACTTGTTTGGACTACGCTACATGGTGTCAGGAGTGAAACACACATCATACTACTGCTCGTGGCCTGGCCGAAAGCCAACTTGGTGAGTTTATTGAAGTAATTTCTCTGAATTATCTCAGCGATATTTCTGAACAAGTAATATGCCTACCACGGGTGAAGAAAGTGGTGGCGCTTCTTCATGTACACCACCCTCGATGAAAGCTGTTCCAGTAAACATACCGCTTCCAGAAAGGATGGATTTCAGCGGTGGAAATCTTCCCGTCAAGTGGCAAAGATTCTGTCGAGCGTGGTCAAATTATGAAATCGCCGCTCAACTGAAAGACCCCGAAAACATGGGCAGAAATAAGGAGCGATGGGCAGCCACGTTACTTACATGTACTGGTTCTGATGCATTACACGTAATTGATGCTATGGAGTTCGAGAACGAAGACCAAAGAAAAGACTCAGAAGTGGTCTTAGAAAAGATGAAAGACTACTGCATTAGGGAGTGCAATGAGACCTATGAAAGGTATGTGTTCAACCGACGGGACCAAGAGGCAAATGAATCAGTTGATGCGTATGTCACCGCATTACAAAAATTAGCAAAGACTTGCAACTATGGGTCATAGACAGACTCACTTATTTGTGATAGAATGGTGGTGGGCATTAATGACAATTCTGCTCGTAAGAAGCTCCTGCAGACAAGCAAGCCCACACTAGGACAATGCATAGACATCTGCAGATCTTCGCAGACATCTGCAAGGCAGCTGAAAGAGATGAATCAAGAGGATGTCCGTTTAGGACAACAAGAAAAAACCAGTTGAGAAAAGGAACACAAAGGTTCCAGAGAAGAGCCAAAATGAGCCACACGAATGCAAATGCAAGTTTTGTTCCAGATACCATCCTTTCACTAAGAAGAACTGTTCTACATGGGGAACATCTTGCAAGAATTGTAGCAAGCTAAATCATTTTGTGGTGTGTTGCCAAGAATCTAGGAAGAAAGTGCTGTCTGTGGACTACACATCTGAAGATGAGGAGTACGAATATGTGGCCAAGATAGAAGTGAAAGAGCAGGTTAATAAATTAGCCTCTAATCATTCCCCCAGCAAAGTGTTTGCCACTCTACTGGTCAATGGAACCCAGGAAAAGTTTCAGTTAGACAGTGGATCAACAGTAAACATCATAACTGAGACTGTGTTAAAGCTCTGTGGCCAAGATGGCTTGAGTGAATTGGAAAAAAACCCTGTGACCCTGGTAATGTACAACCAGTCAGAGGTCAAACCCATGGGCAAGAAATGATTCAAAGTCGTCAACCCCAAGAAAAACAAGAAAACAGCATTGAGTTTCATCTTGTTCGTGGGGAGTGTAAAACCATTTTGGGCTTGAGGGCCAGAGAACACCTTCAGCTGCTAACGGTCAACAGCCAGAATATCTTTTCTGTGGAGTTAAGTGAGGTGGAGGAGAAAGGCCCAAGGTGAAAGACTACACTTTGCAGTACACCGACGTATTCACTGGGGAAGGCAAACTAGAAGGGCTACTCCACCTGGAGATAGACAGAAACGTCCAGCCAGTCCAACTACCTACACGGAAAGTCCCTATATTGCCCTCAGAGAGCCCCTAAAACACAAACTGGACAGATTGTCAAATATCGGAGTGATTCAGAAGGTCGATACACCCACAAGCTGGATTTTAGCACTTGTGGTCACAACAAAGAAAAATGGCAAGGTTAGACTATGTATTGACCCAAAACCATTGAATGAAGCCTTACACAGAAATCATTACCCCTTACCTACAATAGATGATGTGCTGCCCCTGCTATCGAAGGCCCGTGT